TGGACACAGCACATCTTAATTCCCTTTTCAGCCCCTTCTCCTCCCCTCCCTCTCTCCTCCCTCCATCTCTTGGTCTTCTTCCCATTTGCAAAAGAGCTGTCACACTAGTTCCTAGTTTCTGTCTTTTGATTTTCTCTTTATTTATATTTTGGGTTTTGTATGAGAAACCACATGATAGATAAGCTTTTGTGTCTGATTTATGTTACTTAACCTTATGAGTTCAAGCTATGTCCATTTTCTACAAATGACTAAGTTTACCCTTCTTTGTGGCAGAGTAGTACTCCCATGTCTGTAAATACCGCATTCTCTTTATCCAGTCATCTGTGGACGGACATAAAGGTTGTTTCCAAGATTTAGCTCCTGTGAATATGCTGCTGTGAAGTACACATGCATCACTGAAATGAGTAGACACTTCTCTGAAGAAGTAAAAGCGGCCAATAAACACATAAAAAATGTTCAGCATCACTGAGCATTAGAGGAATGCCAAATAGAACAATGCTGAGATTTCATCTTTTTCCAGAACAATTGGCTGTCAGGAAGAAGTCAAATAGTAGCAAATCCTGGTGAGGCTGGCGGGGAAAGGAATCCCTCTCCACTGGTGGTGGGAATGGAAACTGGTACAGCCACTGAGGAAGTCAGTGTGGAGATCCCTCAAAGCCCTAAAAGTAGAAATTCCATTTGACCCAGCTATTCCCCTTCTGGGTGTCTTCCCCAGAGAGTTAAGGATGTCGTACTACAGGACACAGACCTTGATTCTTTTGGCAGAGGTGCTAGTCTAGTTTTTTGTCGCTGGTTGTTACCATGCAGAATTTGTATGTACCCCACAAAGCCACCGTAAGTTGCTTTCGGAGTGCTGAGCATCATGATGAAAGCAGTTCTTTCCTGCTGCTGGGCCCCATGTCTGTTTCTTTCCTTTTTCGTGTTTGTCCTGGCTGTTGTATTGGCCGCTCCTTTCCTTTCCTTTCCTTGGTTGACTCAGGGAGCCCTTTAATTTGTAAAGCCAGAGCTTTGAAACTTTTACGAAAATGAGAAAAGTCCTCTAAATTTTAGCAGCTTAGAAGGCTGGGCTGGCTGGGTGGAAGGGGCCAGTCCAAACTGGCAAAATATCAAGACTCTGTTTCAAAATTAAAAGCAGACAACTGAAAAGGTCCAGTTTGCCACTCAGTGGTGTAGCGCTCACTGGAAGGAAGAAGGCGAGTTCACGTGGGGAGCACCGCCATCCAAAAGGAGAGAAGCTTGGGAGAAATGCTCAGCAAGGTGCCCTCTTTTCCTCAGGGAAAGTCCCTGAGTCTCATCTGCGGGGCTCTGACCTGGCTCCGTGACTTTGAACAGAAGAAACAGCAGGAAGAGGCGCGCTGCCTCCTGGCTCCTGGAACCCAGCCCCTGCCAGAGGGCCAGGACTTGCTTCCTGCAGCCCCATCTTCCTGCCCGGTGCCCCCCACTGCCCTGACGTCTGGAGGAGAGCCGGACTGGGTCACCCAGTTTGTGCAGAGGAAGGAGGAGAGGGAGCTGGCAGAGCGAGTGAAGGCGAGTCTGGGCGGGATCCTGGGGTTGGTGCAGTGGCCTCTGTCCTCCCCCAGCCACCTTGCACCCTGCACTGCTGGGTTCTCCTTGGCACTGGCCCGAGGCAGCAGAAGGAGGGGCTGCTGCGGCCCCGTGCTCTGGAGGCCAGTAGAGGTCCCCGCAGGAGGAGCAGAGCAAAAGGAGGAAGCCAGAGGAGCGGCTGCAGCAGACCCGCCACAGTGCACAGTTCAAGCACGCAGCCCAATGCTGGTTTCAGCTCAAGGCACAGTTTGTAGAGGCTGGGTCCAAGGCAGAGTAGCACGTCAGAAGAGAAGCCGTTCAGGGCAAGCAAAATATAGCAGAAACAAGCGGGGCAGGGAGAAGACAGCCTCTTTCTGTGCCTTGTGCTGTATCCTGGCTGCTGGGATTAGGATGGTGCTGAGCCAATCAATGGACGACTGACTTTGTGATCACCCACCCTCAGTTCAAGCATCGCACCATGGATCAGTCACACACTCTAGACCCAGCCACCTTTGGGAGAACAGCCAGACACAAGTCTGGGCTCCCCCCCTGCTGTCTTCCAATCCCATGGATTCGGTGCATTTCTTACTCTGGCATTTCTCTGCTCTGAACAGCACTTCTGTGGGAAGTGCAGCCAGGTCTCCGCCCAGGAGTTCTGTCCGCAGCCACACATCTGGCAGACACATGCTGTCCCGGGCTGCTGGGGTCCTGAGCCCTCCCCAGCCTCTGTGCCTGCTGCAGCCACCGTCCTGCTCTATTTATTTTTTATTGCCCAGATTTCTAGATTTTTATTCAATCTTTGCCTTAGAGTTCTCTTTGAGGATCACATGGTCTCTGAATCAGCATAGGAAGCCCTTGCCCACCCACTCTTGTCCTGTGGACCAGACCCCAGGCCTGGCTGCCTCATTTTCACACAGGGCAGAGCAATGCATCAGTGGAGGGCAGCACCTGGCACTTGGTGCTGGGTGACCCAGCTGCTCCCAGTTGTCACAGTGCCTAGGCTGTGTTTCAGGGACACCGAGGAGATGCATGTTGAAAAGCAACAGTGTGTATCGATATTTTCAAACCAAAATAAAAACTTAACTTCCTGGACCTTACATTTAGATCCCTTGGGGCAGGCAGAGCATGGGGGAGTAGATGAGTGTGTGTTCAGTGAAAATGACAGCCATAAAAATCCCGGGTATTTGGTTGCTGAATGAACGTGTAGTTTCTTGGTAGCGTAACGTAACTATTTAATCTCTCAGTATCCTTGAACAGCCTGAGAATCACATCCCTGCCCCAACAGGAAACCTGCCCAGGGAAGGGGCGCTGCTGTGCCTGCCAGCTCTGCCTGGCAGGATGCATTGCTGTCTGAAATCAGGGGTTCCTTCCAGTGCTTCTCTGGCTAGTGGAACCAGTCACTGGGAACTTTTGGGTTTCAGTGTGGTTAGAGCTTGCTTTTTTTCCCTGTTGACCTAATTTTTGTTTTTAAAACATGTAACCACTCATGCAGTTCAAAAGTTAGAACTCTTATTAATAAATATACAGCCGGGGACTCTCACCCTGTCCTCCAGCCTACTGGTCCCCGCCCGGTGAGGAATCCTTTTCCTTAGCTGAGGATGCAGCTTTCTCCTGGTTTTGCTGGGTGGCGCTGCCTGGTGTTTGGTTTGAGAGTTTGTTTTTTGTTGTTGTTGTTGTTTTTTTTTTTTTTTTTTTTTTTTTGCTAAAATAAACACCTGCCTGCTCTGTCCTGTGTCCCGGAGATAGCCTTGTGGTTTCTGGAGTGCGCTGGTGGTGGCTGGCCAGTGGCACGGTGAGGACGAGGTCTGTAGGCTGTAGGGGCCCCGGGTGCTGTGCCGGGTAGAGGTGGTGCTGCTCAGGCAGCAGGCAGCTTCCCTCCCTCCCCGGGTCCATCTCACTGTGCAGACGCACCCTGAGGAAGAAAAGCTGCCTGGCTAAGCTGCATCTGTCAGCTGTGCGAAGCTTAGACTCCTAGGTAACTGCTAGGTCTAGAAAAGTGGAACTGCTTGTCACTTGCTAACAGTGACATTTCCCTCCCTGGGGTCATGACCACTGTGTATCCCCCTCACCCAGGCAATGTCTGCGAGCTCAGTTCCTCACCAGTGGTTCAGCTTTAGGGACAGGCGGGAGCTGTATGGATCTAAAGACTTTCCTGTGATGATTTCGACCCAAAGCCAGGCTTGAAACCCCCTGTGCCAAATCGGCCACCTTTTTGTGTTCCTTCAGTCCTCTGAGGAGGCCGCCAGCAGGTCATTAATGGTTGTTTTCTTGTTGATAATTCTGCATCAGCCTTTCTGGGCTTATTTCCTATGCAGTGTCCCAGTGGCCACCCAGCCCAGACTTCTCCCTCTGTTCTCCCTGCCGAGCCTCTGTGCCCTCCATACCAAGCCTGAGGTCCCTTTCCCTAGCCCTCAGGATATCACACACCTCAAACCCTGCCTGCAGGTGTCTGACTTCCGGGAGCAGCTGCTGGCCTGGGCTGGGACGCAATCCGAGCGCGTGGTGGAGTTTTCCTGTGGTGAGCAGACCCTATGCCGTGACCTCTGCTCACTAGTTTTTGCCACTGGCCAGGCCCTGGGTGGGGACACCACAGGGCGGCTTGTCACCTGCTCCCTTCCTGCTTTCATGCTCTGTGACTTGCCATCTGCATCGCCCAGAGACCCTCAGGGAGGTCTATAGACCCCTTCCTGTGTGGAGATGGGTGGGGAACACCCTCCCTGGACCCCGCCTGCCTGCGGAGCAGTTTCCAACCCCTCCCTTTCTCACTAGGTCACGTTATCCCACCAGACAACATCCTGCCCCTGGTCCTCTGCAGTGGGCCCACCGGCCAGCAGCTGGAGTTCACCTTTCAGCAGAGAGAGCTGCCTGCAATGGTGGGTGCCTCTCTCAGTGCTCATAGCCCCCATGGTGTGGCACATCGCTCTGGGTCACCTGGCTGCTCCTGGCATTTGGAAAATCAGTATGAGGGCTCCCTTTCCAGCTGGGCTCCCAATGAGTGGAGTCTCTAGATATTTGTCATGAAGGTGTGGGCTAACCCCGCCCCTGGACCTTTAAGTGAGTTTCCTTCAGCCCTCCAGGTGCCCCTTGAGGACCAGTCGTCCTCGTCCTCCTCTCCCGGGGGTTGCTGTGGGGGCGGCAGTGGCGGGATGGACTCCGACATGTGGGTAAAGGCTCCTTCTGCACCTTCAGGGGCCCCTGGCCTAGGGCCTTTCCCAGAGATGCCTGGAAGGGAAGGGCTGGTGAGGGAGGGAGGCCAGGCCAGGTGCACCCTGCTCCTGGATAAGGGGACAGGCGGAGCACCCCAGGCGCCTGCCTACCTTTGCGCCTCAGGACCAGCTTGTTAAAGAGATCTGACATCAGACGAGGGGGCTGGGGATTTAGCTCAGCGGCATAAGCACCTGCCCTGCAAGTAGGCGGTCGTGAGTTCAATCCCCGGTACCGATAAAAATGAAAAAGACAAAAAAAAAAAAAAAAAGATCTGACATCAGGTCCCCGCCCTGGCCCGTGGCTCTCACTGCGGGAAGCACAGGTGAAGAAGTGCAGGACAGAGGAGGGGACCCCATTAGGGCCACAGGCTCTGGGCTCACTCCCCTGTCCATGACAGCAGTGGCCCCCAGAGGTTTAGAGACTTAGGCCTGGGCTTGCCTGAGTCCTGTGAGAGCACTGAGACTCCTTGGAAGCGCAGGAGGTGGGGGAACCCTCTGACGCAGCCTGAGCTGGCAGGGCCAAGCACAAAGCCCCAAGCAGAAGCCCAGGACAAGGGTGTTGGGGCCAGCCAGGCCTCCAAGAGCACCCCGCCTGCAGAGGGACAGCCTTGGGGCCCTGACAGGCCTCCACCGGGTGTCCTGGCTGCAGGGGGAGTGGGGCCTCACCTTGCTCCTGCTCCTTCTGCTTCTTCTTCTCCAACTTGCGCTCCTTGACGCTGCGCAGCTTGGCCTTGCCGATGCCCCCAGCTTGGCGGATGGACTCCAGCAAGGTGGCCCGGCCGCTGGAGGGGTCCACCACCTCCTTAGGAGCCACCTGGACAGGTGCTGACAGGGCGGAGGTGTGAGGAGTGGCCTTCCAGGCCCATGCTGAGTCAGTGCCTGGTGTCAGACACCTGCGTCCCCCCATTTCCCACCCCGATTGGGTGCTGCCCTGCAGCAGTGGACCTGAGACTCACTAATCACCCACAAAACCTCCAGGGACCTGTGGGCCAGCAGAGACTTCTGTGCCCCTTCTGGAAGCTGCACAGGGGCTGGAAGGTACAATATTAAAACCCGAGTTCTCAAGTCTCCCTTTGCAGTCGCCCTCGTTTCCAGTGGTTCAGCTGGGAGTGAGGCCATGGCCCCAACTTTGGGCTCCCCTACCTCTCCCCTGGGATCCAAGGCCCCGAGCTCTGCAGTCCTGAGAGCAGGGCGGGCCCAAAGGCTAGGCCATGTGAGGAGGAAACTGTACTATGGACCTCAGACGTGCAGCTGCTTCCCCTTGGGATGCCCGGCGCTGGCCCCTACCTGAAGCAGGGGTGCTGCTGCTACTTTCAGCAGGGCCTGCACTGGTCGTGGCTGCAGTCTGCAGGGGTAGGCCTGCAGGTGCGCTGGCCAGCACTGCAGGAGCTGGCGGAAGTGGAGGTGGTGGTGGCGGTGGCGGTGGTGGGGGGGGTGCTATGAGCACCCCACCCTCTAGGTCTGGAACACAGGCGTGAAGCTGAGCACGCGGGAAGCAGGCTGAGTTAAGGGAGCTCCCAGCCCGGTCCACTGCCCAGAACCCAGCTCACCAGCCTTGAAAGGTGTGTCCACCTCTGTCTGGAAGGCAGGGAGCTCCGGGATGGCACCAGGGGCAGAGGGGGCAATGCCTGGGCCCAGGTCGGCACTGTACATGAGGTCATTGGCAACGCCGGGCAGGTCAGGCAGGTAGGATGGCACATCAATCTCGGGCACCTGACCGAGGTCTGGCACATAGAAGTAGTTCTCAGGGACCTGTGGGGGAGCACATGCGCCATGGCTACAACATGAGGACATGGTCAGCAGGTCACCCTGGGCCCCACAGAGCCCTCTTCACCCCAGGACAGCTCGGAGCTCCCAGGACCCTGGCCTCTAGCACCCCCCACCTGCCGCTCAAGCTCCTCTCTCTTGCTGATGGACAGAGGGGCATCGAACAGCTTCTCCTCCTTCTCCAGCATCACATGGGTCCTAGTGACCGCCCCCGCCAGCGAGTCCAGGAAAACGTACTTCTTGTGCCGACAGGGTGAGTGGGGTTTAGTCAGGCTTCCTGCTTTGGGGTACATCCTGCTCTTTGATGCCTAGGGCTCACCAGCTCTCACACCCACGTTGCACCCGACCTAGTGTGCTTCTCCCCCAGCCCCCTCAGAGCCCCCTGGGCCCTACAGGTTCTCCGTGGTGTTGAACAGCAGCAGGGAGCTGACGGAGCTGATGTTGCTGGGGAGCCCGCCGAGCCCCTCCTCGGTCTCATCCTCAGGCTCTGGCTTGGTGTTCACACACAGAGGGAAGAACTTCAGCTTTTCCTGGGGTGACAGGGATGTGGGGGGCTCAGCACCCCGTTCTGTCCCAGCCTGAACCCTTGGGTATCAGCAGCCCATGTGGACCCGGTGGCGCACCCTGGCCTGGCTGTGGCCCGACCTGCAGGGCCCGCTCCTCCAGCGGCCAGTGCTTGCTCTGCATGTGGCAGCGCGGCCGTGGCTGGAGGCCCGGGTCCTGTGCGCCTGAGAAGACTGAGCTGTAGTCCTGCAGGCGCTCGGGCCGGGAACTTGGCGCTGGAAAACGCCCGCGGGCAGGGACCAAGGGCTGGGGAGTTGAGGGGCGTGGCAGGGGTGGTGGGGGCGGGGCTGATGGGCGTGTGCTCCCCATCTTGATGGCCTTCTTGCTCCCCTTGAGCTTCTCGATCTTGGCCTGGCTCTTGGAGATCCGCTCCCCAAGCACCTGCAGCTGCCTGTGGCTCAGCTCCACACGCTGGGAGATCCTGCCATGCAAAGGCCACGTCAGGGGCTGCACCAAGCCACTCCAGCCCAGCAGCCTGCAGAACAGCAGGCGCCCTCTAAGGACTCTGGGTCCGGCTCCCTCAGCCCCCGGGCTCCCTGTCGCTGTCCCAGGGACCCACTGTGACAGGCCTACAGGAGTGGTCCTCACTTCACAGGGCTCAGTTCCTTGGGGCCCACCGTGATCACCTGTGGCTGTGGCAGAGCTATCCGCACCCGCCCCGTGGGCCCGCGTAGGGTGCGTGAGAACCTGGGCTCTGTCAGAGGAGGAAACTGCGGGAAGCAGGGCTGCAGCCACTGCCAGCACCTGACCCGACTTGGCGAGAGTGGGGCGCGGGTCTGGGGGGCCCTGCTCCTCTCGCTTTACACCCTACAGCACGGGACCCTGCTGTCCCCCCGGGCCAGACACACACAGGCAGACTCAGGACCCACCCCTCTGCAGACACCCCAGTGACTGGGTCATGGCAGCCTCCTCGGAGAGCCGCCTGGGGTCTCCCTCTGCTGGTTGCAGGCGGAACTGCAAGAATAGCCTTTCCTTCCCTTAGGAAAGAGCAGAGCCAGAACTGGGGTGATGAGGGTCACAGTACTGGGGTTATGGAGCCCCTGGGCTATGCTGGACAGTTGGGGATGACCTCGGGCACTCGTGAGGGAAGCTTGCAGACCCGGAGCTGCTCCCACACAGCAGCCATCTGGGGCCCACAGGTCTGGGAGTCATTAAAGGGGCTGGGCTCAGAGAGGAATCCCGGGACAAGGTAGCCCTCCCTCCGCTGGGAAGGGCAGCACCCACCTGCTGAAGATGTCTCCTGAGACCTCATTCAGGTACTGCAGGGCATCGGCCACCTGCTGGATGGCTTCCTCCCGCCGCAGGTCTGGCTGGATGAGAGGGATGGCGTAGGTCTGGCCAGCTGAGGGGCCCGGGATCCTCACTGAGGCCATGGTGCTGTGGGTGGGGCCGGAGTGTCAGGACCATGGGCAGGGTGTTCGCATGGCAGTGTGCAGCAGCCAGGGACTCTCGGTACAACAGAGTCCAGGTCAGTGAGAAGAGGGCCTGAGGAACGAGGGTGCAGTAATGGAAGACCAGGAGGAAACACGATGAACAAACTGCAAGGCACAATGTGCTGCCCCTTGGAACCTCTGTTCTTTCCGTCTCCCATTCTACAGATGAAATATGCCTTGGGTCTTTTTTGCGGGGAAGGTGGTACTGGGAATCAAACTCAGGGCCTTGTGCTTGCCAGGCAGGCCTGCCTCTGCTCTTTAAGAAGTCTTCAGTTCCAAGGACAAAGCATTATGCACAACACATTGTGCCAACATCTTCCCCAAGCTGAAGCCACTCCTGGTGCCCCTGCAGTCTCCTGAGCTCTCCCTTCTCCCCACAATGACTCCTCCACACTCTGTGGCTGGTGCTTTCCTGAGATGATCTGTCTGTTCTTCCACTTCCCCAGCGGCCAGCTCCCCTCCACACTTACTCTTCCAGGAAAGCCAGGCCCAGTTTCCCAGACTGAGACCACCGTGACTCTGCAGGGCCTGGAGGTTACTCCACCCTCCCTCCTGCCTTCCTATGGAGCAACCCAAGGAGCCAGCAGATCCCCCAGCCTGGGAAAGGCCCTTGTGCCTCTCAGAGACCACCATAGCCTTTCAAGAGTGCCTGCCCTGTACTAATTCTGATGCGTCTGCCACCCTCTGACTTAGTTCAGTCCTTTGCTTCTCCCATCAGGAGAGGGGAAAAGAGAAAGTGCTTTCTGTGCTTGTCCTGGGTGAACCCTCCTTAGTTACACACCTGGGTGTGTGAGGGAGAAATCCAGGCTCAGGTCTCAGCAGGGACCTGCGGGAGTGAATGCGGCCACCCTGAGGCTTCCTCCTGCTGTCTGCAGACAGCTAGTGCTGAGCTGTTAAGGGGAGACCAGGACCACCACAACAAAGATGGGAAAGGCACTGCGAGGCAGGGACACAGCCTCAGAGACAGCAAAGCCCTCAGGATAAGCACCCAGTCCAGCCTCCTGTAAAGTGCTAAGGGAGAAAGTGCTTCTGAGCCAGGAGCCCAGAAAAGCCTCTTAGCCGACTGCACTGCTCTCCTTTATCTCTGCACTTCACATGGTCTCAGTGGTGATTGTGACAGCTCAGCACATCCTCTTCTCATTCGTGGACCATGCAAGTTCTTTGTCACCAAATCATCCAAAGTCCTATCTGAAGAAATATCTGATTTCCATTTAATGAAATATTTCTCTTGCATGGCTGCATAATTCTACACAGATCTTGTGGGTGGACACGTCGGCTGAATTCATGCCACCACTTACGATAGAGAAGAGAGATTAGTATGTTAGAGACACAGCACATGGCTTAAGCCTTGCTGATACTCATTGAGCAAATGGAATGAGACAAATAAGAGGAAACAAGGACTCTGGCAAAGTGTGTGTCATAGAACTGACATTTGAGAAGGCGACTCACATAGAAGACTGGGAATCGGAGTCCACAGATCAAAGAGGATGCTAACTCCTACATGCTCCCTGGGAAGATGCAAAGGTAAGAAAACCTTCTGCTTCTCAGCCCTTGCTTTGTCTCAAGGATGGTACCTAGTTGGAGGGTGTGGGGGCCTGGTCTGTGGGGAGGGTCAAGTAAAATGAGCTGGAGGAAACCACAAAATAGAGAACATCTTCTGTGGCACCTTGCTGTGTGTGAGCCTTGTGCACTTCTTCTGGACCCTAGGGGGAGCGCTCCCCATCTGATGCAAGGGAGACTGTGCTTCAAGATCAGGCACAATGCATGCACTTGAGTGAGGGAACGTGAAACCATCTGAGTTTCATTAGCAGTGACACTGAGGGAGATGTGAGGATGAGAATAAATGAAGAATTCACCCTGCTCTAAGAACACAGGGAGAAGTTAAATGTGATCCAGTCCTATAGTCCACAACTTCCCTGGGTTGAAGTGATGACCCTGAATATGGAGGACATTTGCACATGGACCTACAATGAGCAAGACTCTCTTCTTCTCTCCAGCAATGACTGGACACCACAGCCCGAGGACTCTTCTTCAGCTCTCTGGAGAGTGAGGACATCTTGCACCCAGGACAGCTGCAGAAGACTCTGTTGCCCTTCTTGAAAGGGCGGCACCAGACCCTGTGGGTGAAGAGGCCAAGGTGCTAGCAAAGCCTTGCGGCACAGAACTAGGGTGACCAGTATACTGGGGTCTCCAAGTCACCAATTTTTCCAATTCTGTTCTGAATTAAACTTAGGACATCAGTAAATAGATGAGTGGAATGGAGCTATTAACAATCAGCAGAAACTGCATTGTCTTTATTTAGCAGAGCATAGACGAACACATGCTTTAAAAACTAGAATCAGACATGTTTTAGGTTAAGAAAATTTTGATTAGGGAACATTTTGATGTGTAGACTTATTCTTGAAATCTGCCCTATTTGAAGTTTTCAAAGTGTGTTAAAATGCATTATGATGTTGGGAAATTTGTTTCCTCAGAGAAGCAACAACTACTCACAGGAAGTTCTTATCTTCCGGGTGGCCCTGATTCTCACTGAATTGACAGTGCTGTGCCTTGGGATGGTGATAGCCCCTTTTATTTCCATTACAGTGAGGTTTGCCCCTGTGATTGGTATTGATTGCTAACTGTGGGCACCTTTCCTTGTATCAGTAATGAGTCCCCTATCTCAAATGTCAGGTGTTGTCAGATACCTTTATCCCTCTCTCCGGGATAACTGTGTGGAGGAAGCAGCTGAAGCTGGAGAGCGACCATTTGTGTGGAGCAGTAGGAGGTCAGTGTGTGCCCCTGACAAGCTGCCCCAGCTCAGAGTGCACCAAAGTGCAAGGCTATCCAAACAATGCATCTCTAGGCAAGGATGTGCCATGTGACTTTATCTTGTAAATGTATCAATAAAAGCCACTATGGTGGTTGAGCACTTCCTTTCCTCCCATTAGGAGAGAGGGCTCCACTTGACCTCTGCTTTCATTTCTTTTCTTTATTTTCCCACCCTCTAGCCATCCTTAGTCTGGGAACATCTGGATCTGCACCGAGAGATGACACCTATGCAGTCCTCTTCTGGCCCTGAGTGTGGACTGTCTAGTTGGATGGTATTGACAAGGCAGTGAAGGCACTTACAGATTGTATAAGGACCAGAGGCAAAAGCCAGCTCTGAGTGGATTCTTTCTTTGATCAGTTCTTCATCTCTGGAGCACCATCTATTTATTGGTGCTGGAATGACAACCACCAATGGTAAGTGTCTCACTGTGGATACTTCAAGGACTGTAGTGAAAGAGGGCTTGTATGGTCACTTGGGTAAAATATAGGAACCTTCTCTGGTTACTCAGGGCAAGACTTTACTGCTATGTTGAAAATTAAGAAGGAATACCTGTCTTTTTAAGTGCTCTGTGAGATTCCATGTGAAATGTGATCCTGCCTGGGAGGGTCAAAGGTATTTTCTACCCCCTCCTGTGTTCTCCTTCATCTTCAGAGCAGGGAATCTCCCTTTGGAAATTTCCAGATTCAGCTCAGCTGAGATGCATGTATTTTTCTATTCATTCAAAGACAGTCCTAGGAAGACTGGGAACAAAGGCATTTGTTTTTACTGTATCAGGATTTGGAGTTTGTGAATTACTTTTTTGGCAGCATATTAAAGACTTCATATAAGTTTACATCATGTACTGATCACTGCTCTGGATGCATTATTTGTACTGTGAGTATTTCTTCTTCCAATATAGCAATTTGCAAATCATTTTAGTGTCTCTGATGGTGATTGTGAACTTGCACCTAGAACTTGATTAGGAGCCTTTGGTCCATGCATGATAAAGATCTTTAGCGATTACAGGTCAGGGTACTTTGCCGAGGGTTAAATTTTCCAAACTGCTTCCATGCTGACTGCCCTGTTGAGACTTTTTTTTTAGTAGAAAATTCTGCAAGAATGTATGTTCTCCCAGCAGTGCTCACTTCATGATGTTAATGTGACGCTGAAGGGGAACATGCAAAGCAGTACATTCAGGAACTTCATGGTCTGCAAGGATCCTCAGCACACAGCAGGGCTGACTGAAAAGGGAACATTCTTCCCGGTGCTAAGTGGTCTAGGCTATGAGGGAGGCTCATAGGGATAATGCCAGGCCTTGTTGTGTTAGAGACACCAGGGGACTGAAAGACAAGGGAGATTTGCATTTCTGGTTGCTCCTGTCTCCTAGAAATGGCTGATCACTGTGATATATATGGTAAGAACCAATCAAAGACAGCCAAGTACCCTGCTCTGTGCTCCCTCTTTGTAATCCCGTAAAAACTTCCCTCCCTGAGCCTTGCTCAACATTTTAGCACACAAAAGCCTATAATCATGTCACCTGACCTGCCTTCTCCCCCTCATGTGAAATCTGACCGTGCATCACAGTCTGGTGGCTATGCCCATCTCTCCTGATTCTCTTCTCACTTTCACAAAGTATCCACAATCAATTACATGTACTCTTGTTCACATCTTAGCATCAGCTTTTTGGAGGAAATGAATCTGAGCAAACACAGAGCTCCAAGGCAGAAGCAGGACTATCAGGGAGAGAGGGAAAATACTACAACCCAGGGGACAGGGAACAGTAGTGTGGAGCAGAGTGGGGACAATAGAGGTGGAGACAATCACATTTTACCTTTCTGTCAAAGATAGAGTGTCAAGAAGCAAGATACAAACCCACAGAAAGAAAGAATCCAGGCACTTGGCAGCTCAGTGCAAAAGCCCCGGGTTCAATCCTCAACATCATGATAAAGAAAGAGAAAGGTTACTAGACTGGCTGCTAGGATATGTGCTAAGAGAGGGAGTGGCCATCCAAGATGCCTCCATGGTTTTAGGGCTAAGAACTGGAAAGGTGGATCTCCTTCACCTGAGATGCTAAAGCCTGTGAGGAGCACACGTTCTAGGAGTGACACTAAAGGCTTAATCGGGATCTAGAAGGCTGGAGATAATAATAGCTATGCAAAAGGAAATGTCACAGGGACTGTTGCTTTCCTGAGCTTGATTCTGCAATAGGCTGTTGGTTAAAGACACAACTTTCGGAGTTGCTGTGTAGCTGGCATTTGATGGCACAGAACTGAAGGTGTTAACTAAGAGGTAAGAGATCATCAAAGGGAAAATCTAGGATCCAAGTCCTAGCACACTCTAGATTTGGCAGGTGAGAAGAATCCATCAGGTGACAAAGGTCAGACAAATGCAGATTTATCCTAAGTGCCTGATGAAGTTCACGTTTTAACCAAGTGTGTGGCCCCTTTTGAGATAAATACTGTTTGCCTCAAAGTCTGTTTTGTGTGACTATTTTAATTTTTGCAATAGGGTCTTGATAGGCAGCTCAGGCTCTTGAACCTACTATGGATTCCAGGCTGCCCTCAAACTCAGGGCGATCCTCCTGCCTCAGTCTCTGGAGTACTGGGATTACATGTGTACACCACCATGCCTGGCACTTATGTGAATTCAAAGGAGCTGTGTCGTGAGATTTTCCTTACTAGATGCCCTCACATCTTTCTCTGTGCTTTTACCGTTTTATTTCTGTTAGCTTAGTTTCCCTTCCTCCCGGTCCTCCTGTCATAGCTCCCTGGGGTGGCCTGAAAAGCGGTAGTCTGCAGCTTTAATGCCACTCCACCCATCCCCCACCCGCTGGAGGAGGCCTCACCAGGCCCCTTATGACGTCATAGTTTACTCAGCCAATGGGACGAGAGGTCTGGTCCCACGCCCACTGGTTTGAGTTTAGCATCTCCCTGGTTACACCTTTTGTGGGTAGTTGGTGGATGTGAGAGGAGTGTGTTTGAGAGTTTCCTTGTGATGGAAGGGACTGTCATGAAGTGGTCCCACCCCTTTCCCTGTCCATGTCTTCCTATTCCTGAAGAAATTCAAAGGCAGAAATTGGCTGCGGCCAAAAAAAAGGTAAACCGAACAGGGTCTCAGTTCCTGGACCCAGAGCAAGCCCCCAGCAAGCAGCTTCTTGGCAGTCTGTACCCCCCTGGGAGAAATGTGGAGGGACCCTCAGCACTCCGGTGCCCCCTTCAAGCCCTGTTACAGATCCTCTCCTCACACCCCGAATGCATCCACCTCCAGGGGGACTCTCCTTTAGGCCTCACATGGGGCTTGGCTCTTGCCTCACATACTTTGTCTTCCTGAGCCCTACATTGGAGGACCCCTTTCCCTTCAGCTGTCTGCACACAGAGGAGGGTGGGGGCACAGAGGGAGTCTGGGGACAGAGAGGGAGGAGCAGAGTGCACTTAAGACCCTTTCCATTGGACGCCCTCATCACTACCCCTCACCTGGCCCTTAATCTTCCCACTTGGATCCCTAAAGCAGCTTTAGCCCCCTTCTGGTTTCTCTGGTGAAGACACAGATTTCTCCCTGGAAGGGCATGTGAACATGGGAGCGGGTATAGAGGTTTTGGCCACTGGGCTCCTTAACTTAGACACTGACCACCTAAAACTTTCATCAGGGACCTCAAAAGGTTGACAGTCTCTCTGGGTGACCCGAGTAGATCAGATCTGTGTGAGCTTTTTCCCCAGGAGCTGACTCTACAGAGAGACTCAGAATGTTTTCTAATTGTCCCCTTTACCTTTGACTCTCCTGTGTGTGGTACTGATGATTACACCCACAGCCTTCAAAAGTACAGAGAGCTGTCTATTACTGAGCTGCACTCCAGTCTGTTACTGTCTGATTTCCCCCCATTACGTCTAGGGACTAAGTCCAGGGAGCACAGGGTTCCATGCTCAGCCCTTTTTAGTTTTTATTATTTCTATTTGAGGAAGTGTTTGACTACTTTTATGCCCTCAGGTTTCCCTCATTCTTATCCTGCTATTGCAACATCACCAGTATTTGGGGTTACAGGCCTACACCACAGTGACAAGTTTCTCTTTCTCTTTTCTTTCATTTCTTTCTTCCTGCTGTTCAGCCATGTTAACTTGTGTGTTTACTGACTGACTGACCATCACAGTGTGTTGTAGGGCCGTTGGCAGCATTAAGCAGATGGTGTGCATAAGAGTGTTGTATTGGAGGATGTGAACCAAGTGGCTTACTGTTTTCGTGAGTATCATTGCTCTTCTTTCCACAGTTAAGAGAATTCAAAAAGCAGAAGCGGCGTGATTGATTTCTGGTGGATAAAAGAGTAAGTTTTTAAAATGCATAAAACCTAAGACACCAGTGGTGGAGAATGTCACCCACATGAAGCTGTGTCACGGCTGGCCAGGCAGCTAAGGATGGGGCTGCAATGGCAGTAGAGGGTCAGAGTGCAGAGGAGAACAATGTCAGGTGCTAAGAATTCTGCATTTAGGGCTGGGCCTGTTATAGCTCAGTGGGAGGTTTCAGAGAGAGCACTGCAGCTTGGGGCCAGAGAAGGGAAAGGTGTCAGATACTAGGGTGATAGAAGGGTCTGAGGTCACTAGTCCCTCCCTCCATCTACTGTCCCCTGTGCTCTGGGCAGGTGCATGAGGTAAAGGAGGAGCGGGACAAGAGGGCTGATAAGCCTCCTGTCCAGCTGAGTGAACTGGAGAAACCCGTAGGTGAGTGGGGACAAGGGTGATCTGGGCAGAGCGGGGTACCCGGCTGTGGGTGGGGCTTACACTGCCCTAGGAGACAGGGTGGACTCAAGGGCACAGTGGTAAAGGGAAGGGCATCTGTGCCAGGAGCTGGCAATTTAGTCCTATCTCTGAGCCTCAGTGTCCCCACTTGCAGAGAGGGTATTGTGCCCCTGCCAACCCCCACCCAGGATCCATACAGGAGCATGGCTTCAGGCCTGGCCATGATGTGGTTGTGAGGAAACAGTCATGAGGAAGCCAAGGCCCAAGCAAGGAGCCTGGAGTGGGGGCTGAGCACTGAGAGCTTGTTCAGGGCCCAGAGACCTGGACCCTTTCCACTACCTCCTTGTCACCTGTGCCCCAGCCCTGCAGCCCCAAGCAGGGCCATGTCTGGAACATCAGCAGCTCCTGTGGGAGGTGCAGAAGGTGAAGAAGGAGCTGGAGGGCGCCTTGGGGCAGCTAAAGGAAGAAAACCTGGCTCTGCGGAACAAAATGAGGGAGCAGGAGGAGCGCCTTCTGCAGCTTGACACCAGGGCAGAGCTGTGCTCTGTGCAGGCAGAAGAGCACAAGAACATGGTGCACAACATGGAGGAGCAGCAGAGGATGATTGATGCCTTAGGGCTTCAGAACTGCCTGATAAAGGAGCAGCTGGCCCAGATGCAGGACGGCTTCCAGAGGCTGGTGCGTGTTCACTGCTCACCAGGCTCCTCACCACCAAGACCTTCTGCGCAGAGCAGCACCGGAACCCCTCTGGCTCCTTCCCCCTGCAACACATTGGGCCACTGTCTCCCTCAATTGGGAAAGTGTCGCATGAGTCAGAACCCTGTGGGGCTTCTCCTGCAGAGAGGGGATGATTATATGTCCTGCCTTGCACTGTAGACACCCAGGTGGGGTCTCGGGTCGGTCCGTGCTGGTGTCACTGATTACCATTCTCTGTAGAGAGAAGAGAACACCAATTTAGTGACCACCCTGAGCTCAGAGCAGCTCAGACACAAGGAGCTGACTTGGAAGCTGGGCCAGCTGCAGGAGGAGATCACGCAGCTCAAGGCAGTGGTAGGTGACTCCTGCCCCATGGGACTGGGCTAGGAGAGGTGCTCCCGATGGGGGTGGGAGGTGCTGGGGCCAGAACTGATCTCCCACAGCTGGACCACAAGTGACCCCAGAGTCCTGCAGTGTCTGGCAGAGCAGTTGTGTGTCTTTTGCTGTTGGTCTCTGAAATGTAGAGGTGTGTGGCTCTGGGGTCCTCCCAGGTCCTGATGTCATTTCCCTGCCAGAAGCCTGAGTTACCCTACTGCTAGGAGGAAACAGGGTAGCGGGGGGAGGCTCCTTGGTGCAAACTGAAGCCTAGAGATCACTTAACGCATGTGGCATGGCTCCATCTGATTCTCCGTAGATGTGGTGAGGTCCACATTCAAGAACAGAGGTTGTAGGACTGGAGACTGGGAACAGGAGGCCAGTGGTTCAGAGGAGCCCCTACTGAGCTCAGGCTGCTGAAGCCCCAGGGTATGCCTGCCCTCACTTCTCGGTCTCCTGCAGGTGGCGCTGAAGAGCCAGGAGGCCCAGGAGCTGCAGCAGCAGAGAGACCAGCTTATGCCAGAGTGCTGAGGCACCTTATGCCAGAGTGCTGAGGCCTGTTTACACCTGGCCTCTGCAAGACACGCTCTGCAACATCAGCATCTGCAGACCTTTAAACAAGCGATGAATGTACATCTGAAAGACCTGGAAGACCACAAGGCCCTGGTCAGCTTTTACGAAGACCTGAAGACCACCCAGGTGATGGAGGTGCTGAGGCCCGGCCCCTGCCTGGGAGGACCTGGCTGCCTCTGATGTCTCACTTTCCATCCTTACCTACAGGAGGTCCTGTCAGCTTCCAAGCTGCAGAAGCAGCAGACAGTCTCGCCTGAAGTTGTGGCACTGCCTGGGCAATGTGAATGGAGGTGTCAGTGTTGCATGGGCTGAGGAGCACTCTGAGAATGAGTGGAGGAGGACGAGATGGCAGAGGGCTGCTCATTCTCTCCCCGAGGGTGGTGGCCCAGGGTGACCTGGTGAGGTGGGTGGAGGGGAGCCTGGACTGCTCTGCCTCCCTCCCTCCTGACTGCTCCCAATATGAAATGAAGGGGAGGTGGAGGAAACAGAAATGGAGAGTCCTCAGCCCAACAGCACCAGTCCTGAAGACGCGAGAGGCTCAAAGGCTGCGGTGAGCTGGGCTCTGCTTTGATCCTTCCCTGGGTCTCCTTCCCTGCCTCTTGCCCTGAGGTCCCTTTGGACACCCCAATACTTTGGATTCCCCATGCCCTCATTTCCCTGGACCTTCCCTGGAAGCAGTGGTCATGCCCCATCCCTAGGAGGAACAGGTGCCAGTGGCAGAAGGAGGCTCCATGCATCCTGTTATGTGGAGAGCTCCCCCCACACAATCAGACCCTGCCTCCACAGATGGCATTTGTCAGCAAAGGTCCCACCTCTGTGCAGAAACAGTGGGCTCAGCCACCCAGCCACCTGAAGGATCAGAGGCAGCCAGGCCAGAGTTTGGCCTATGTGGCACTCCTGACCCAGGTCAAAGCTGATGATGTGGCTTCACCTCCCAGGAGCAGTGGTGACCATGTGACCATGGTGCAGCCTCAGGGGAGGCTGTTCCACCAGGCTGGGCAGGGTGGCCAGGGCAGGTGGCCACAGAGCCCTGACTCTGGTGCTCTGCTTCCTTTGTTGTACAGGTGTCACAGGGAAAGGCAGAGATTAAGGAGACAGTGCAGGAGCTGGAATGTCAAGGCCTGCTGCCCTCTGGTGATTGCAGCACCGCTGATAAGCTGGGCCAGGGCTCCTGCAGCAGAGGCTGTAAGGTGTGGGGTTTGGGGAGGCCTGCAAGTGACCTCTGACTATTGTTCTCCTTTGCACAGCAGGGCACACTGCGATCTGCCCCAAACAGGGGACAAACCTAACAATGAGACATTGTGAGGAGGAGGACACACAACAGGAGGAGGAGGAAGCACAAGAGGAGGAGGAGGAGGAGCAGAAGGAAGAGGAGGAGGAGGACTCGGAAGGAGTGGAAGAGGAGGACGAAGAGGAAAAGGAGCAGGCCGAGGAGCTGGAGGGGGAGGAGGAAGCAGAAATGGAGGAGGAGGAGCAAGAGGTGGAGGAGGAGGAGAAGAAGGAGCAGGAGGAGGAGGAAGAGCAGCAGGAGGAGGATGAACATATCACACAGCTCTTCTCAGGGAAGGGAGAGGAGCAGGTAGGTCTGCATGTCTCCTTAGGGCTGGGTCCCTAAGAAGCCCCCTCCCTGAGGGTAAAGCTGCTTGGGTTGCAGGAGGTGGTTCTCTGCCCGCAAGAAGACTGCAGGTCCTGTCAGGGCGAGTTTCAGGGCACTGCACAGAGCCGTGGTGAGGAGCCCACTGTGGGCTCCCCACACACCGAGGATGTTGCAGCCTCAGAGGAGCGGTGTGGTGAGTGCAGGCCTGGGAGGGGCGGGCAGGGGCAGGCATGGCAGGGGCGCACACTCAGTGCCTGCTGCTCTCTCCAAAGATCCTGCAGAGGGGAGCCCCGCACACACTGAACAGCCTCCAGTTGAAGAGGCTGTGGTCCAGTGCCCCCAGAACCCCAGCTGCTTGAGAATGGGAATCTGCACAGGGCCCTGGCTTGGGCCTTCACCCCTGAGTACGGTGATTTCTGCTTTGGAACAACGCTGAGGAGTAGGAAACCATAGAACCCAGTGCTCTGTGCCCTCTTTTCCCCCATTCAGTCCCTGCTTACCTATCCCTCCTCTCCTGACTCTTTTCCTGCCATGTCTAGAGGAGCAAGAAAAACTCCACCGATTTATCTCTTCCTAGAGATATTTGAACTCCAACAATTCTTTAAAATATCAAAAATGTACATTTATTTGAATACAAATGAAAAAAAATGAGAAAAATATTTCAATAAAAATTTTAATTGTTTTAAATTTTTAAATCTGTTTTGTACAGCAAAACAAGACAAATAATGAAACTGAGTTTAAAACAGGTTAGTAGGAGCGTGACAATACTTGAAATGCTGCACGCTGTTGTCTTCATAGTAGTCATTTGGAATACAGGATGTAGGCATGCTATTGCCTCTAAACAATATTAGCACAAAACATTGTTTTCAAGGAACAAATAGAAGCTAGCTGTGCAATTATCTTCACTATAATTTTTCTTTTCTTTCTTCTTTTCCCTATCACAGTTTGAATTTTAAAACTTATTTATGGTTCTGAAGGACAGAGGGAGGAAACAGGATGGGTTCCTGGTGACCTGGTCCTGATGGTCCCATTTATGCTGATTTTCATTTGACTGGGAATAAATGGATTCTATCAGTTTCCTGGCGAGGAAGGGCAAGGATCAGATGAAGCAGTGAGCAGATGCTACCCGCAGAGGGCACGTATTGGGCTGCGGCAGAGCCCATGTTTGAGCTGGTCCAGCAGGGCTGGAGGACATCTCCCTGCCTTGTCACCTGGATCCTGCTAGGCTGTGGTGAGGGGACTGCCGTGGAGGCTCCTGGGGAAGCCTGTTCTAAAGGGCCTCAACCCAGATCCTGATCTGGCAGTGGGGAGGGACAGGTTCAGGGGCCCGCCCTGCCCTGCAGTGCAGCATTACCAATTCATGCCCTGGCTGTGGCTCTGTCTGCACATGGGGCCTGTTCCTTCTGTTTAGCTTGGCCTGCTGCTGGCTGCTGCCCCTCTTCCTTGAGGTTCAGTTTGTGGCCCTGCTCCTTGGGGGTAAGAATGGCTGTTTTTGTTTTCTGATAGGAATACTCTATGGGACTTCAGTAACCCTGGAACTCCTATGCCATGTCAGTTTGGCTCTAAGTGAGGAACTCAATTCATTCTCATGAGATAGACATGAGACTCTGGGAACAAGGTGCGGGTGTAGTACCCTTTAACCTGAAATGCCCCTCTAAAGTCTGTGTGTGGAAATAGTTGGATGGGAAAGGGAGCATCCTCTGCAGAGGACTTTTCTTTTTTTTTTTTTTAATTTTATTTAAGGAGAAAAGAAAAAAAAAGCAGGGAAAGGGTACAAGTTATACAGATTTACAGAAAAAAAATGAACAGTAGGAAATCACTAGTTAATGGATTACATATTGTCATCTTAGAAATAATTGTTCAAGTCACAAAATTAAAGCTTGTAAAGTGGACATTCCATCAATGATACTGCAAACAGTTCTGTTCATTGATCCAATAAAACTCTGTGATATCATTTTCTATCTTATACACTTAAATATACATGCAGTTATATAGTTTAGAGTACTTTCTTTTCCTCTCTTTTGTACCATGACTATTACACATTTTGGGTTTCATTGCTCCCACGGTTCTTATTACTTTTTTGGAAGAGAGTAAAACCAAATGTGACATAACAGAACAGAATCGGTCAAGTCAAAAGGGTGGACATAATAGATAATGTAAAAACATAATACAGGTGATCAACAATGGTTACCATAATGTCTCCCGCTATCTCTAATAGAATTGCCTATATCATTAGTTATAATACAATTGAACAAAACAGTAAAGAATAAAACCGACAAAACCAAAACA